GTGGGATTGGGGTGGATTTGTGTGAATTTTGGGGGGGATTTTAGGGGGATTTTGGGGTGAATTTTGGGGTGAATTTTGTGGGGATTGTGAATTTTGGGGTGGAATTGGGCAGGATTGTGGTGAATTTTGGGGTGAATTTGGGTGAATTTTGGGGTGAATTTGGGGGGATTTGGGTGGATTTTGGGGTGAATTTTGGGTGAAATTGGGGTGAATTTGGGGTGGATTTGGGGGTGAATTTTGGGGTGAAATTGGGGGGAATATTGGGGGGATTTGGATGAATTTTGGGGTGAAATTTGGGGGGATTGGGGTGAAATTTGGGGGGATTTGGGGTGAATTTTGGGGTGGATTTTGGGGTGATTTAGGGTGAATTTTGGGGTGAACTTTGTGGGGATTGGGGTGGATTTTGGGCTGAAATTGGGGTGAATTTGGGTGAATTTAGCGGTGAATTTTGGGGGGATTGGGGTGGATTTTGGGGTGAAGCTTGAGGGGATTTGGGTTGAAATTTGGGGGATTTGGGGTGAATTTTGGGGTGATTTGGGTGAATTTTGGGGTGACTTTGGGGTGATTTGGGTGGATTTTGGGGTGAATTTGGGGTGGATTTTGGGTTGAATTTTTGGGGGATTGGGTTGAAATTGGGGTGAATCTTGGGGTGAATTATGGGGGGATTGGGGTGAATTTTGGGGTGAAATTTGGGGGGATTGGGGTGAAATTTAGGGGGATTTGGGTGAATTTTGGGGTGATTGTGGTGAATTTTGGGGTGAAATTGGGCGGGATTTGGGTGAATTTTGTGGGGATTTGGGGTGGATTTTGGGGGAATTTTTGGGGGAATTGGGGTGGATTTTGGGGTGAAGTTTGGGGGGATTTGGGGTGAATTTTGGGGTGAATTTAGTGGTAAATTTTGGGGGGATTGGGGTGAATTTTGGGGTGATTGTGGTGAATTTTGGGGGGAAATTGGGCGGGATTTGGGTGAATTTTGTGGGGATTTGGGGTGGATTTTGGGGGAATTTTTGGGGGAATTGGGGTGGATTTTGGGGTGAAGTTTGGGGGGATTTGGGGTGAATTTTGGGGGATTTGGGGTGAATTTTGGGGTGAATTTAGTGGTAAATTTTGGGGGGATTGGGGTGAATTTTGGGGTGAATTTTGGGGGGATTTGGGGTGGATTCTGGGTCCTCCCAGGGCGCAGTTGCTCCTCCGAGCCGCCGGGGGACGCTGGGCGCGGCCGTGGGCCAGATCCGGAAGGAGGTGCAGGCTTTGGGCGCCGCCATCGCGGGCGCGCAGGAAACGGCGCAGCGCCTTGGTGAGCCCCGCCCCAAACCTCGAATTTGGGGTCCCTCTGCACCCCAAAACCCCGAATTTGGGGTCCCTCAACCCCCAAAACCCAAATTTGGGGTCCCTCTGCCCCCCAAAACCCCGAATTTGGGGTCCCTCTGCCCCCAAAACCCCCCAAAACCCAAATTTGGGGACCCCACCCCAATTTTGGGGTCCCTCAATCCCCCCCAAACCCCAAATTTGGGGTCCCTCTGCCCCCCAAATCCCCCCCAAACCCCAAATTTGGGGACCCCACCCCATTTTTGGGTCCCTCTACCCCCCAAACCCCAAATTTGGGGTCCCTCTGCCCCCCCAAATCCCCCCCAGACCCCAAATTTGGGGTCTCCTCCCCATTTTCGGGGTCCCTGACCTCCCCTCCCCCCCCAGAGGCGTCGCTGGGGGCGGGGCAGAGCCGGAGGTGGGCGGAGCTTCGGCGGGGGGCGGAGCTTCGGCTGCTGGGGGCGGAGCCGGGCTCTGATTGGCTGCAGGGCCTCCAGCAGGGGGCGCTAAAGCCCCCCCGGCAAAGGTAAAAGGGGGCGGGGCTTAACCAGGACTTCCTTATATGGGCAAATGGGCGGAGCTTGGGGAGGAATTTGGGGGAGATCTGGGGGGATCTTTGGGAATTTTTTGGGATCCTGAGGGGATTTTGGGGTTCCTGAGGGGATTTTTTGGGATCCTGATGGAATTTTTTGGGATCCTGAGGGGATTTTGGGGCTCCTGAGGGGATTTTTTGGGATGCTGAGGGGATTTGGGGGTTCCTGGTGGAATTTTTTGGGGTTCCTGATGGAATTTTTTGGGATCCTGATGGAATTTTGGGGTCTCTGCTGGAAATTTTTGGGTTCCTGAAGAAATTTTTTGGGATCCTGATGGAATTTTGGGGTCTCTGCTGGAATTTTTTGGGTTCCTGAAGAAATTTTTTGGGATCCTGAGGGGATTTTGGGGCTCCTGAGGGGATTTTTTGGGATCCTGAGGGGATTTTGGGGCTCCTGAGGGGATTTTTTGGGATCCTGAGGGGATTTGGGGGTTCCTGATGGAATTTTTTGGGTCCCTCCTCTCAGGCCAGGCCAGTCCTGGGTGGAGCTTTCCGCCATCTTGGCCTCGGGGGTAGAGCCGGAAGTGCTGGTGAGTGGGCGTGGCCTCCAGATGGGCGTGGCCTCCGTGTGGGTGTGGCCTGAGCTGGGCATGCCCCAAATCCCCTCAATCCCCCCCAGGTGTCA